GAAAGTCAGGCTCTGAATAAGTGAGCAGAAATACCCCGGGATGGTGACTTGATTCCACGGATGAATCCCCCTCTCCCCACACACAAAACTCAGGTACAAAAATCATCTAACTGGTTCGGACTATTTTTTTATAACCAGTCGTGATCGGTCGGTTCTGTAGCGTATTGCGTCTTTTTTTTTTTGTAACCAGAAGTAACCTACTGAAGCTCTGCGGTATAAATTGTTTTTCTTTCTGTTCTTTTTGTAGTTAGAAGCGACCAGGCGTTCTGTAGTGTATGTTTTTATATCTACTGTCAGAATTCATTTGATGTTGTTTTGTTTAGCTATGGACGTTTTCTGTAGTCTAGTGTTGATATCTATGAGTGAAACCCTTTATATTTTTAGCTTTTGACATGTAAAACCTTTCTAGTTTTAGCTATAGGCGTGTGGAACCTTTTTTTTGTTTTATCTATAAGCGTGTAAACCCTATCCATTTTACATTTATAAGTGATCAAGCCATTCTGAAGTCTGCTGCAGTTTCCTCTACGAGCGTCCAAACTTTTCCATCGTCTATATTCATCTTCATTTAGTTTCAAAATGGCAAAATACTCCGTGACTAGTTGTCTCTCCCTCAGTTTTATATGAATAAACGACCAAACTCTACTGCACTCTGTTGATTCGCTTTTGTTTTTTGTTTTTGTTACAATCGACCAAATATCTATGTTTATATTTTTATTATTTCACAAACGATCGAAATTTCTATTGTCTATTGTTTCTGTTATCGATAAAGTTGAAGCCATCTATAAGCGATCAGACAATTAACAGTACACATAAAATTATAAATACCTAATGCTTATTGTTATGCTTAAAATAATTACCTATTGCAGTGTATTGTATATTTACATATTTATTCTTCTGTACTGCATTGTGTCCGTTTACATATTTATTCTATTGTACTGTATTCTGTATTTACATATTCATTCTGTATTGGCATTTATGTATACATGGTAGACAATTTCTGTTAAGTGTAAATGTCGACAAAAAAGTCCTGGACTCAGTGATGTCACGAAACACCCCGGGTTCGAATTCAGATCAGCAACATGTAAAGGTTCTCTATATCTTCTACTACTGAGCCACTAAAGATATTATTATTATTATTATTATTATTATTATTATTATTATTAAAAGAATCATTTTCATGCCATAAGTAATTCAAGAATGTTACGAATCCCTGTTTTGTTCACGGACTAGGGGTTCGAACCGAGTGAGAAGTGAACCCCGGGCGTTTATTTCCCTCGTCTTGTCCATTTCCTGGGTCAAAAACGTCTAAAACAACTCTGACACAAGTTTATGATGGCAAAATAGAAAGTTTCCGGGTGAAGGAGAATCATTTAGCTGTGAATTAAAGGAAAATACTTCTCTCAGGCAACTATTTGGAAGCATAACAAGTTTGGCTTCAGAGTTAACGAAGGAAACTGACGGTATTTTGTCTGTCTTTCTGTCTGTCTGTCTGTCTCTTCTCCTGTTTGTCTGTCCATCTGTCTATCTCTGTGACTCGACTCTCTCTCTCTCTCTCTCTCTCTCTCTCTCTCTCTCTCTCTCTCTCTCTCTCTCCTTGTTTCTTTTCTCTGTCCTTTCTCTTCTGTCTTCCATCTCCTCTCATTTCCTTATCGGTCTTCATCACGTCTTCCATTTCCCTCTTCTTTATCCTTCTTCCTCTCTCTCATCTCCTAGTCTCATTACTCTTCCATTTTCTTTCATTCCTTCCTTATCTCCCTCCATTCGTTGCCTTTAACCCCTCTTCCGTATCCTCTTAACCTCCCTCTTCCTCTTGTCCATCCTCCTCCCATCTCTTTCATTTCCCTTCCTTCATCTTCTTCCTGCACATCTCCATTTTCTCGTCTTCTTCTCCTTCCTCCTCCTCTTCTTCTCCTTCCTCTTCATCTCCATATTCATGACTCGTTTATTGTGGTTTTTTTCCCTAGTCTTTATATTTCGTTTCCTATACGCTGGGTGTGAGGGGCCACCATTTTATTCTTTGCTTCAATATTTTTTTTTTATTTTTAATATTTTCGTTCCGCTAACATCCTCTCCTCGGGTATTTTTATTTATTTATTTGTTTCCCCTTTATATTGTTACCGATTTTTGTGTGTATGTATGTATGTATGTATGTATGTATGTATGTATGTCCATCTCTTCTAAAGGTAATATATTCCCATTTTAAGTCTCCATATTTATAAACATTAATATTATTAAGTTTTAAGTCACTTTATCTTCTTTTAAAGTGTTAAGTGATACTCTCTTAAGTGCACTTTATTCACCTAGCCTTCCAGTGATGCCCCATAATACTTTATATATTCGTCCTTTCAGTGTCTGGCGAACGTTCGACACCTCAGGCACCGATGAGCGAACGTATTTATGTTGTAGAATTTGTTTAAACGTTTACGGATTCTAAAACCTGATTGACTGATCACGGAAGGTGGGTGGCCTCGGATTGGCTGGTCATGAAGGGTGCTGACTTTCGATTGGTTGAATAGTTTTCCTTGTATAATAACAATACTACTACTACTACTACTACTACTACTACTACTAACAATAATAATAAAGTAACACAAACACAAGACTCACGGCAACAATATTCCTCGGGGAGTCTCCAGTTGCCACTAAATGTTTTTGTTTACCTAATTTCCAACATTCGATGATGAGAGTAAATTCTGTCCCGCGTTTCTGGAATTTAACAAGTTTATGATGATGGGAATTTATTTTTTTTCCCCCCGTTGGTAACTGGATTTTGGGCTCCACCGTGACGAATAAGAGAATGATTTTTATATTTTTTTTTCGTAAATAAATAAAACTGGTGGGTGGTGGCCGCTAATGATGGAGGTATGCCACAGGTCACCATAATGAATTTATCTAGAAGAAAAAATAGACAAAACGGAATAAAAGGATAAGAGTAAAGAAAGAAGAAAGTAAATAACGAAATAAGAGAGAAAGACAAGAACACGAGATACTTAACAACTCTATTCCCTACTTCTTCCTCCTCCTCCTCCTCCTCATTCTTATCTTCTTCCTCTTCTCTTCTTCCTCTCTTGTCTCCCTTTCTCCACGCACTTCATTAAAGGAGAAAGGAGAGGAGAGCCAGACAACATGATGCAAGAGAGAGAGAGAGAGAGAGAGAGAGGATTTTTCACTCCCTTGTCATGCAATTTCGCTGACGACGTATTTTTGGGCTAACAGTCACGCTATTTCATCTCTTATCCACACCTCTCCTGTGCTGTGTTGGGCTGTGCTGGACTGTGTCGTGTTGGACCTTGTTATGTTGTGCTGTGCTGTGTTGTATTGGACTGTGTTGTGCTGAGTTGGACTATGTTGTGTTGGACTGTGTTGTGTTGGACTGTGCTGGGCTGGGCTGTGATGTGCGGTGTTATGTTGGACTGTGTTGTGTTGGACTGTGTTGTGTTATGTTGTGTTGTGAAGTGTTGTGCTGGACTGTGCTGGGCTGGGCTGTGATGTGATGTGAGGTGTTATGTTGGACTGTGTTGTGTTGTAAAGTGTTGTGCTGGACTGTGATGTGTTGTGTTGTGTTTCTAGTTGGTATAAGCCCTTTGTAGTTCTTGGCTTATATCTGATTCAGTAGGTTATATTTTCTTCAGCCCAGAGAGACTGACTCAGCACAAGACGAGGGAAATATGTTTGTTTTGATTTTCTATGTAAACACCCCTTCCAGAAAGCCCTGTTCCACTAGTCTGTTCCAGTGTCCTCTTCCAGTACCTTGTTCCAGTCTCTCTCTCTCTCTCTCTCTCTCTCTCTCTCTCTCTCTCTCTTTCCCTCTCTCCCTCTCTCTCTCTCTCTCTCTCTCTCTCTCTCTCTCACACCCAGCGATCTACATCCCACCTCATTGGTTCTCCTCCAGCCAATGAACGAGCAGTACAATGTTTGTTTACATTCAGTCAGCTGTGAGATGTTTGTTTACACTCAGTCAGTCAGCTGTTAGAAAATAGTGTAGATAAAAAATAGTGAAAGTTGAGTGACTCTTTATAACACGATTATAGAAAGGTAGAGAAAGTTAGTTAGATAAATAAGAAAGGAATAAAAAAAACAGTTGTTAAAGTAGGAAGGTTTGATAATTGAGTTTAGTGAATAAAAAATATAGGAAAAATAGGAATTGGAGAATTTACTTAGGAAATTAGTTACGTGTTGAAATCATAAAAAAAAGTTACTTGGATAAAAGACAATAAAAGAACGATGATAATAATGATGATGATAATAATAATAATACTAATAATAATAATAAGCGCAGAGATGAATTCATTATGTGAAAAAAATTCATAAAAACTATTAAAATAAATTCATCACAAAAATATCAAGAAACAAAAATCCTAAAACTATGAAAACTATTTAATAACCTCGAAAAAAGAAATTATAATAAAAAAAATCAAAACCTGCAGAAAAAAGTGACAAAAACTCCCAAATTATTCGGAAAAAACCCCCAAAAATCAAAGTTCACTAAAAATACCAAAAAATGCCCCGAAACTATTAATAAAGTTTTACTGTATATATAAAAGACTAAGTAATGATGGCTGGTTCCCCACATTAATCAGTCTTAGTTAGTTTGGGGGGTGGGGAGAATAGGTGGGGGGAGGGTGGGGAGAATAGGGGAGGGTGGAGAATAGGCAGGGGGTGGGGGAAGTAAGAGGTAGTTGTAAGGGAAGGTTGAAGGGGTTAGTCGGGGATAGAGGAAGGTTGAAGGTTAGTCAGATAGAGGAAGGGGTTGAAGGGGTTAGTCAGATAGAGGAAGGGGCATGGGTTAGTCAGACAGAGGAAGGGGAAACCTAGTTAATGGCTGGAAGGTCGAGACACAGGCGGAGAGAAAAAGACTTTAGCAGTTTATTAATGATTCTCTGGGAGACGGTGATAAAGGAGGAGGGGGAGGAGGGGGATGAAGAGGAGGAGGAAGAAGAGAAGATAATGATGGTGGTGATGGTGAAAAGTTGATGATGAAGGGAGAGGAGGAGTGGGGGATGAGATCACCCAACATCCAGATCACCCAACACCCAGATCACCCAACACCCAGATCACCCAACACCCAGATCACCCAACACCCAGATCACCCAACACCCAGATCACCCAACACCCAGATCACCCAACACCCAGATCACCCAACACCCAGACTATCCAACACCAGGACGTCCAACACCCAGATCATCCAACATCGAGATCACCCAACACCCAGATCATCCAACACCCAGATCATCCAACACCCAGATCATCCAACACCCAGATCATCCAACACCAAGATCATCCAACACCCAGACATCCAACATCGAGATCACCTACCCAGATCATCCAACACCCAGATCATCCAACACCCAGATCATCCAACACCAGATCATCCAACACCCAGATCATCCAACACCCAGATCATCCAACATCGAGATCACCCAACACCCAGATCATCCAACACCCAGACTAACCAACACCCAGATCATCCAACACCCAGATCATCTAACACCAGATTACCTTAACACTCCAGATCATCCATCACCTCATTACGGGGTTAATTAGCCAACGACTGGAAGAACTTTTTACCCGGAGGTGTTAAGTGGGACTAGGAAGAGGAGGTGGGACACGGGGAGGTGAGCAAAGGGGGGAGGAGAAGAGAAGAAAGGGAGGAGGAGGAGAGAGAGGAGAGAGGAGGAGAGGGAGGAGGAGGGAGGGAGGAGGGAGGAGGAGGAGGGGAGGAGGAAGGAGTAGGGGAAGGAGCAGGAGGAAGGGGGAGGAGGGAGGGGGGAGGAGAGGGGGGGGAGGAGGAGGAGGAAGGAAGGAGGAGGAGGAGGAGAAAGAGTAGAGAAGGAGAGGAGGAAGGAGGAAGGAAGGAGGAGGAAGAAGAAGGACAATTGATATCAAAGGAATGGTAATAAGGAGAAAGAGAAGGATGTGGAGGAAGATGATGATAATGAAGGAGACAAAGACAATATAAATGAAAAGAAGGAGGGAGAAGGAGGGAGAAGGAGGGAGAAACTGTACAGTGTGTGTGTGTATACTTTTATATGTACACATGTATACAGTATGTCTATAATACACACACACACACACGCCAGTACAAATAGTCTGTCATGTTTTATCTATCAGCTCGCCTGGGTGACTAAGAGCCCACTAGCTCACCCATCTTGTTGACGTCATATCCGTCCCCTCGCTGACGTCACTCACCTCCCATGTCACCATCACTCATTTTTATCTTTATAAAATAGCACCCTACTGTGTCCTAGATAATAAGCGATGATTTAATAATTATATTCCTGATATATTTATAGATTAAATATATAGTTATGGAGTGTGTTTTTTTTTTCTTTCTTAATAATGTAAAAAGTTTTGGGTTAGGGACGTCACCCAGGAAGGTCTCGTCGCCCACACAAACACGGACATTTTTTTTTTTCCTGCCTTAATTTTCTCTATTATGTTCAGGAAAATTTTGTATTACTATACTTAAAACACTGAGGCTCGATACTGTCTGTTTATATAGTATGAGAGAGATGAGAGAACGGTTAGTGTGAAATACCGTAGAGTTTGTTTTCTGGCAACATTTCCTTTAACTTACGGATCTTTGAGAATCCATTTCGTGTTGTTATATTAAGTGAGGAAATACGATGAATTATTGAAAATTTAACATACTATTTACTGAGAATTTAACGTACGCGATTTATTGAGAATTTAACGTACGCGATTTATTGAGAATTTAACTGACGATTTATTGAGAATTGAATTTACGATTTTTACAGAATTTTATATCCGGGCTGCAGTTTTATATTTACAAAGTTCAATAACATAAACCATAACTCTAAGACAACTTCTTACACCATATAACTTTTATTAAAAAACAAGTTGGAGTTGGCATGTGTGTGTGTGTGTGTGTGGGGTGTGTGTGTGGGTGTGGGGGTGTGTGTGTGTGTGTGTGTGTGTGTGTGTGTGTGTGTGTGTGTGTGTGTGTGTGTGTGTGTGTGTGTGTGTGTGTGTGTGTGTGTGTGTGTGTGTGTGTGTGTGTGTGTGTGTGTGTGTGTGTGTGTGTGTGTGTGTGTGTGTGTGTGTGTGTGTGTTCTGACTGCTCTAATATATATGGACGCTATTAAAACGCAAAATAGCGCAAGAACATGTGTGAACGCTTAAGAACATGTGAACGCTAGAACATGTGTGAACGCTTAAGAACATGTGAACGCTAGAACATGTGTGAACGCTTAAGAACATGTGAACGCTAAGAACATGTGTGAACGCTAGAACATGTGTGAACGCTTGTGAACATGTGTGAACGCTTAGAACATGTGAACGCTGTGAACATGTGTGAACGCTTTAGAACATGTGTGAACGCTTAAGAACATGTGTGAACGCTAGAACATGTGTGAACGCTTAAGAACATGTGTGAACGCTAAGAACATGTGTGAACGCTTAAGAACATGTGAACGCTAAGAACATGTGTGAAAGCTTAGAACATGTGTGAACAGCTAGAACATGTGTGAACGCTTAAGAACATGTGTGAACGCTTAAGAACATGTGAACGCTAAGAATATGTGTGAACGCTTAACTTGTATGGACGCGTCTAAATTTCCCCATGAAAACATCGGAACAGAAAAAACCTCAATTTCGACTGAGCGTTTCAAGCTATCCATCCCGAATTGATATGAGAGAGAGAGAGAGAGAGAGAGAGAGAGAGTTACCGGGTGCCAGCTTGCGGTAAGTGGCGCAGAGAATGATAGATGGCACTGTGCCTTATTGTGTCTTGCGTGATAGATAGATAGATAGAGAGAGAGAGAGAGAGAGAGAGAGAGAGAGAGAGAGAGAGAGAGGGGTAAATAAAGATAAAATAATGTAACAACTTATTGACTTACAATTTCTCTCTCTCTCTCTCTCTTCTTTTTCTTTTCTCTTGCTCTCTCTCTTCTCTCTTCTCTCTCTCTCTCCCAACACCAAGGCAAGTCGACAACACACACACACGTAGGTTAAAAAACTCACGGTATTTCCCACCCACGTTTAACTATGTAATTCCAGGCCGAGTGAAGGAGGTTTACCATAAGTGATCGTTCATCGTCATTACTTACCGCTCAGGACCGTCCTCGACAACCTGGAAATAAGGAGCCATAAAGGGGGTGAGGACGATGTTTTGTGGGATATTCGATGAAATATTTTGGTTAATCCTAATAAAAAAAATAATTTGGTTTATTATTATTATTATTATTATTATTATTATTATTATTGAGAATTTTTTTTCTTTATAACTCAATGGAAATAAATACATGGGTGTTAAATTTATTCTCTTAGATCTTAAGAATTGATTTTACCATCATAGGGTAGCCAAATTATACCTGAAGTAGGTTAGGTGAGGGCATGTCAGATCATCTATTAAGTTTTTCAGTATGTATTACGGTGTGTGTGTGTGTGTGGGTGTGTGTGTGTGTGTGGGTGTGGTGTGTGTGTGTGTGTGGGTGTTTTTGTGATCTGGCGACATCTGGCAATTTACATCCATTATTATATTTTATTTCCAGGATGGTCGCCACCCAGACGTCTTAACCCCATTTATTTGCGATGGTCGCCACCCAGATGTCTTAACCCCATTTATTTCAGGATGGTCGCCACCCAGATGTCTTAACCCCATTTATTTCAGGATGGTCGCCACCCAGATGTCTTAACCCCATTTATTTTCCAGGATGGTCGCCACCCAGACGACTTAACCCCATTTATTTCCAGGATGGTCGCCACCCAGACGTCTTAACCCCATTTATTTCCGGATGGTCGCCACCCAGACGTCTTAACCCCATTTATTTCCAGGATGGTCGCCACCCAGTAAAAACCTTATTTTATGTCCAGGATAGTCGCCAACCTGACAACTTAACCCGTATTTTATAGAAGAAAAACTCCTCTCACTAATTCCAGTTTATGTTCTGAGTTCGAGGATTTAGGGAAGGATTGGAAGGAATTGTGAAGAAGGAAGGAGGAAAGAAAGAAAGAAAGAAAAGAGGAGAGAGAGAGAGAGAGAGAGAGAGAGAGAGAGGAAGAGAGAGAGGATTAGGGAGAAGGTGAATAAAAAGAGAGGGAAAGAGGGAGAGTGACAGAGAGAGTCGTAGAGGGAAACAAAAGAAGAGCGATGCCGTAATTAGCTGACGAAGAATGGCAGTGAGGTGGTGGAAGGAGAGAGAGAGAGAGAGAGAGAGAGAGAGAGAGAGTGAAAGAGAGAGAGAGAGAAAAAAAGAGAGAGCGAGAGTCATTAATAGTCTTCTTGTAGTTAGACTTTTAAATTTACGTTTGTCGTTGTAGCTGATCAGCGTGAAGATCTTCCCCTCACAACTGATCAGCGTGAAGATCTTCCCTCACAACTGATCAGCGTGAAGATCTTCTCCTCACAACTGATCAGCGTGAAGATCTTCCCCTCACAACTGATCAGCGTGAAGATCTTCCCCTCACAACTGATCAGCGTGAAGATCTTCCCCTCACAACTGATCTTTCACTGGTGCTGGTTGCCCAATTAGGGGTTTTAATGACCGGTAGTTACAAGTGACAGGACGTAATGACTTAATCGTTATTCCTTCATTACATGACTATTTCCGTAATGATTCGCCCTCACCTCCATAACCCTTCCACTTAAGTGACAGTAGCCTCTCTTAAGTGACAGTAGTCTCCCTTAAGTGACAGTAGTCTCCCTTAAGTGACAGTAGCCTCCCTTAAGTGACAGTAGCCTCCCTTAAGTGACAGTAGCCTCCCTTAAGTGAAACCCATTAGTAGTCTCCCTTTGCTTAGACGAAAGGAAGAGAAAAACTTACGATTCAGGGCGTTCTTTTTGGGGGAGGGAGGGGGGAGGTGGGGGGGAGGGGAGGTGGGGGGGCGTCATTAGAGTCGAGAGACAGTTGTACTTATTATGGTCAGGTCTTAGTACAATTTGGCCGCCATTACTCTGTTATCTCAGTGACGCAGCTCAAGTGAGTCGTTTAGATGTGTTCCCATCCTAGGTTGAGGGTGGAAAAGTTTACCAATGATCCTTTAACAATTCTACCTCAAAATTGTGTGTGTGTGTGTGTGTGTGTGTGTGTGTGTGTGTGTGTGTGTGTGAGTGCGTTGTGTGTGTGTGTGTGTGTGTGTGTGTGTGTGTGTGTGTGCTGGTGAGTGTGTGTTTGTGTGTGCGTGTGTTTGTTTAACTCGTATAACAAACCCAATATACGAGTATACTACCAAGCCATACATAAAGGTTTCAAATATTTATTCTCTCCGTCAAAATGATGCGCGCGTGTATAAAGATCTTAAAGATTCGTTATAAAAACAAAAAAACAATGAAACGGGATGTATTACACTTTCAAAACATGTTCGGATCCTCCTATTGGTCATATATAAAGTTTTAAAGTATTTATTACATGCGCCGAACAGTGCGTGTGAGGACTACTTTTATCATTTGTTTATACAGAACTGGCAACTCGTCTCTCTTCTCGAGTTGCAACGTTGGAATTTATCTCATTTGTCATTGGGTGAAAGTCAGCAGTTGCCAGCG